GTTGATTTATTTATTCCCATATGCAAATTAAAGTTGTATCCTTCTTATCAGGATTAGGCGAATTTTTATTCCATTTCTCACAAAATCATTTTCCGCCTTCAATTTCTGTTATCTTAGATCGCAATAAATGCTTGCAATCTTTCTTTTGTGAACTCCGATGCCTTTCATAATTGTCCTATGTCCACTCTAAAATTACTGATCCGTTATCTCATGCAAACATTTCCCTTTTATCACTCCTATCCAGTTCTTCCTTTCATCCAAAATTTTCTTTATATCTCTTTAGCATATCCCTTTAATTAAGCTATTTTTTTTTTTTTTGTTGCAAAATTGAAATAATCATCGAAAATAAATGATTGATAGGAAATATGATAAGCTCTTTCATTACTTCAATGATATCATTGTCACATTTTTTTAAATTAATTAATTCAAGCAATTTATTGCAAATTACTATTGTAAACAATTTGGAATTATTCAAATTTCTTTTTGCTATTATATAAATTTATACTTAAATTTGCTCTAAAATTTAAATGTTAAGAATTAAATTTCAATCCAAACTTAGATTGAAATTTCAATTCAGTCTGAATTCGATTCATATCAATGAAATTTCTAAATGCAGATGTTTAAAGATTAATGCTTCCGGAATATATTTTCCTCTGAATTATAGCTCATAGCTTTTTGGCCTTATTTTAAAGCTTTCAATCTGGAACAAGTCTGGTCAATCAACTCTTGGCTTTTCCAGATACAACACACCAGCAAGCAGTAGTAGCAGGAGGAGGCTTCACGGATCTGGTGTCAGATGGATGCAAGAGGACATCTGGTTTTGCTGCAAAATCAATGGCCATATGAAATATATAAAGCCTACGACAGCTGCTCTTCCTTTTAGCTTCATCGTATAGCTAACGAATTGACTGACCCTCTTACTTACATACATATATTACATATAGGCACCATTAGTTTTGAGCCTAGTTGTTAAAGGCCACAAATTATTTAACTCTTTTTAAGGTTAAATTAAGTGAAATTTACGGACAATTATCTAAGAGTTTTGTAAATTTTAAATAATAATTCATGATATTTTCCTAATTTCTCTTCTAACCTATCCTATCTAAGATTATCATAATTAGGCCACAATCGATAAGATACAGTATCAGTATGTTAATGTGGAAATTCAAAAATTATCAGGAAAATGAAATGCGCTAAATGACTGAATAAAAATTTTAAAAATTTACAAAGACATTGTTTGTATTATTGTTGAAAGATTTGGTATCATTTCTATCATCGCCACATTTTAATTACAATAACGCCTATAATTAAAATGGAATCATTCTGGACAATAATAAATAAATTAATTAATTGCTTTTTAGATTTTAAATGCAAAAAAAATACAAAATGTACTTTTTCTAAAAACAAAAAAGACATTAAGAATTGGCATGAAGCTGAGAATTCAACTTGATGAATTTTAGGCTTATAATTTCAGGCTTATAATTTTTTTGCTATAAAAATATTTGAAGATATTTCGAATTTAATTTTGACAATTCCGTCATTATTTTTATTTATTTTTTATTTTTTATTTTTTTTGGCCTTTTAATTTGCATGCAATTGAGTGGGAGGAAATCATTAAAGCTAAGGACACTTGAAATATATCAATTCATGATTGCTTGAAGCTTTGCATCAGATGTACAGCAGGTGTACACCAGGTGTCAATTCAATAGCATCATGCTAATTCACCAATTTTCGCTTCCTTTTTTCTTTTTTTTTTTTTTTGAAAACATTACATTCTGTTTTGTATCATAGAGAAATGAGAAAATGCTGAAAAGTTTGAAAATGTTTGATATTTCTAAAACAAAAAAAACAAAAAAATATATGCAAAAGGCAATTTATCAGTAAACAAATAAATAAATAAACAAACAAACAAACAAACAAACAAACAAACAAACAAGCAAATACACCCGCAAACAATACATTTTCAAGAATTTGCAAATAACATCACTTTGATTATTTAATGTTTAGAGGAAAAAAAAAGTGAAGTAAACAATTTATATAATTTCGTTGAATCAAAAGTTGTATACGATTAATTACAAAGTTTTTAAGGGATAGTAAAACTTTAGTAATTCAAAAATTAATTTAAATTAAAACTGGAAGTTGTGGAAAAATTAAAGAAAACTATTTATTTAAAGAGATAAAAAATTTAATTTTCTTTTTTTTCTTTTTTTTAAAATAATTCATAATATGCAATAAAAAATGACATGTCGTCAAAGGTATAGTAAAAAAAAAAATAAAAACAATAAAAGTGTAGAAAATTGTCTCATCATTTATTTCCATCAATATCACAGCAATAATTATAATTTTTAAATTAAATAAAAAGTATAATTATTTATTTAAAAAACACAATGATTGTAAATACAATAAGAGATTAAATTAAAACTTTCTTTTACAATCCACGCAACAAATAATTATCAACACTTTACGTACGTATGTTACGCTTGACGTACACGTACGTACGTAAGTATGTTACAAGAAATAAATTCATTTCATTTTGAATTCATTTTGATAATCAGTAATTTAGACTAATCAACACTTTATTTTATAATTCATACAAAATAATAAAACTTTTCTTTTCTTTTCTTTCATTATTCTCGTAAAATTTAAACATTTCTTCGTCAATTTCATATAATTTTACTGCGATCGATTGATCATCAATCGATCAATCGATCGATCAACTATCGATCAACTAATCGAATCGATCAATAATATAGCATAAATGATTAAAATCAATAATATCTGAGGCATTGATATTAACATTGATATTATTTTTTATTGTGATTCACAATCAGATTTTGAAATTTGAATATGTTGATTACTTTGTTTCTGATAGAATTCATGTCTGGCGGAATATTTCATTGAACTGATCGATGTGATATTGGTTGTAGTGCTAATCTTAGCAAACAAAAGCGATAAATCAGTAATTGTTGGATTTTGTTTAAATGGTACAACAGTTGATATCCTTCTATCATTAATATCACCATCATTATCATTATCATCATCATCATCATCAACAATTTGCTGCAAAATAAATTAAATTTTTTAGGGTGAAATTAACAAAAAAAAAAAAAAAAAAAAAAAATCGAAAAATAACGAAGCTACTCGAATTGAATATAACCGAACAATCCGGATATGTATTATTCCGGATATCGAATGTTTAACAAAAATAAATACGGACAATATGTTGATTGCTTTTTATATATAATTTATTAAAATAAACAAAGCGGAATTGTGATCTTTTACATGTATCATATGTTTATTTATTTTTTTTTTCCAAATAAATTAACATAACTTTTTCCATAATATTTCAACAATACTTTCCGGAATTTAGAAGAAATATCCGGAATTCCCTTTTTTTTCTTTTGTTTTATTATCTAAAATAAAAATTTTTGCATGAATTAATTTCAACAAACCTGTAAATCGGAGATATAATCAATGATATATTGTAATAGCTCAAGTTGTGTTGTAGCACTTCGAGCATTTGGTACCATTGTTCGTAATCTATTCATCAGTTGATATCGTTGACGTTGCTCATTTGATGCCTTTTTAATTCGACCAATACGAATTTGTGTACTATTATCGGATTCTGAACCGGATGAAGCACTTGATGAGGATGGTGATGAAATGAGCAATCGCATTTTCAAATCAGTAACAACCGGATGATTCAAATGTATGCACTGTAAAATGAAAATTGGCGCCTGCTAGACTCTGAAAGTATCGTTATTATCATCAATTTGATGTGCAAATTCTGAAGAAGTTTATCAAATTGACACACCCCCTTGAAAACCTGAAACTCCTCCCTGACCTATAGAAATAGCCACACCCTTTATGAACAGCTGGCATTGCGCTGTAGCACCTGCTGTCCTCTCTTGGTCATTGGGGCTGGGAAAATGGTTGCTCAACACATGAACGAAGAAACTTTTCCCAGGCTCAAATTTGGATATGCAAATGTGCTTCGCTCAACATATCTTAGTGACAATTGTTTGTATGACACCTATCTCAATCCATTACAATCACATCAAACAACGGAACTGGTTTTTCCTTTCATGCATATTTTATTCAAAACGAAAAATAAATAACTATAAAAATAGGACGTGAGAAAATGTTGAGCTATTAAAAATGATATGTGTTAAATAATATTGGGAAAAAAAAAAATGTGTGAACATGGACAAATGACCAGTAACAATAATAGCCATTCCATCTTTTCCCATCAATATTTTTTTCTTTCTTTTTTTTTAAAATGAAATGAAATTGAAAAGTTTTCCCAACTATATAATCATTGATTAGAGAATAAATATTTTCCGAATTCTACCAGTTTTTCTATTCTTAAATTTTCAATTAATAAATTTAAAATTTTAATTTTACTTAATTACATTTTTTTCTTTTTTTATAATCAATTTTCATTCTTTTACTTTAAATATTCAACAATAAGTATTACTTTAAATATTCAATAACAACTATTAGCCTATTCCATATTTCAAATTATGAAAGAATAAAAATATCCATTTAATCCGGATATCATTTTTTTTTTAATTCGATTAATGAGATATTAAATTCCGGATTAGTACGCTTAACAGCTGCTATTATTTCCAAAAAAAA